GACATCCAGGAGAAAGGCTGCGGTAGACAGAGAAGATAAGTGTCGAGGAAGGAGACTGGGTGAGATGAGCCCTTGTCTTATTAGTAGGGTTCAAGAATGGGATAGAATGCCATATGATTTCACTTATTTGTGAATAAAATAAACAAACAAAATTGAAACAGACTCATAGATACAGAGAACAGACTGACGGTTGAGGGAGGAGCGGGGGGTTGAAGGGCTGAGTGAAAAAGGTGAAGGGATTAAAAAGCACAAGCTACTCATTACAAACTAGTCAGGGGATGTAAAGTACAGCATAGGAAATACATAGTAATGACTATGCATGGTGCCAGGCGGGAACTGGAAATATCAGGGGAGCACTTGGTATAGTATGTGATTGTCTAACCACTAGGCCGTACACCTGAAACCAATACAAAATAATAGTGAATGTTAACTGTAATTGGAAAATAAAATTAAGAAAAAAGTGTCTAACTGAAAAAAACAAAACAAAAAGAATGGCAAAGAATTGTCAGGTTAACTTCACCTACTATTTTGTTGACTGTCGGATGTGTGTGACTCACATACACACACGTGAAAGTGTGCTGACCTGCTACTCTAATCGCTGCCTGTACCTGTCATACACACACACACACACACACAGACACGTGAAAGTGCTCTGACCTGCTACTCTAAGCGCTGCCTGTGCCTGTCATACACACACACACACGCACACACACACATGTGAAAGTGCTCTGACCTGCTACTCTAATCGCTGCCTGTGCCTGTCATACACACACACACACGCACACACACACATGTGAAAGTGCTCTGACCTGCTATTCTAATCGCTGCCTGTGCCTGTCATACACACACACACACGCACACACACACATGTGAAAGTGCTCTGACCTGCTACTCTAATCGCTGCCCCGGTGCCGGTGTCATCAGCTGGGAGTCACACTGTTTGGAAACGAGACTCTTTGTGAACCAGTGGGAGTGTAAATACTTCCAACATGAGGTAAAGCAGAACTGGGATCATAATTGAGTGTCCAGCAGAGTTTCAGCAGCAAGATGGGAAAAGGAGGAAAAAAGAAAAGGGTTCAAATGGAAAACTTCAGGCTGCAGAGTGGGATGAAACAAGAACACGACTCAGATTCCTTCTGAAAAGGGGATTAGAGTTGATCATATTCCACAATGACTAGTGTGCCTGTGCATCCTGGTGTTTGTGGATTGATTTGTCTTCCAGGGGTTTTGTATTTTTCAATCTTTGACTTAAACCAGAACAGTTTAGCATTATTTTTCTTTAATTTTCTGATGATAAAAATTGTTTATTGTCATGCATTCAGAAAATACAGGAAATACAAAGAAGAATGACAAGCATGCCCAAACCCAGCACCTGCTTGTCCCTTCCTTTATTCATCAGTTATTTATAAAGTACCTGCTGGGTCCCAGGCCCCGTGCTTGGTGCGGGACAAATCCTCCCTGACAAGGTGGCTTTGTGGAGTTTTCTTAGAGCTTCCAGTTGTCTGGCTAAACAGCTAATAGGTTTACTACATTCTTACTGTGTGTCAGATCCTGTTTTAGGTGGTTTATAATATGTGTATTAACTTGGTCCCTCTAGCACCGCAACGAGGGAGGTGCTGTTATTCCCACTTGACAGATTGGGAAACAGGCACAGAGAAGTTAAGCAATTTGCTAAAGGTCACAGAGTCAGTAAAGGCAGATTCTTGATTAAAACCCAGGCAGCCTGGCTCCAGAACCTGACCTGGGTTCCGTACTGCCTTATCACATGTTATAAAATACAGACAATTCTGATTCCTGCGTTTATGTTGGCCATTAAAACATGAGCATCCTCCTGTACTGTACATGAACCGTGTATAATTTCTTACCTCTAAACCAAGTAGAATTTTAATTTACTCACTTGTTTAATAGGATCAAAATGAAATAAGCATATATAGAAATGTGATGAGAAGCATTTAAATGCTACAGAGATCATTAAGATTTCTTAATGCTTTTCATAATTTTTTATTTGATTTTTCTTTGTTTAATTTCATTTTCCAGTTACAGTTTACACTCAATGTTATTTTGCATTAGTGTCAGGTGTACAGCATAGTGGTGAGACAGTCCTGTACCACATAGAGCACCCCCCCCCCATCATAATATTTTTAATCCAGTCATTTTAAGAGGATAAGTTATTGGATAAGTTATTGTAGGAAATTAAACATTTTGTAGTCGTGTTTGATTTCATAGCAGGAAAATAAACACAAATTCAGATAAAGGTAATGAGTGGTAGATGCCGACGACTGTTCTGGAAATGAGTCGCTCATGTGGAATTGCGTCGAAGCTTGCACTGGAGAGATTGCACATTGCATTACGGGTGGTGTGAGGCTCAGGGCTTTCATGGCATGTGTTCACACCATGATGGTGTTTAGGTTCAGTTTAGACAGAAGTTCCCAAGGATGAGTTGTGTCAGATGGGGCCACTCGGAGAGGACCGTGTGCTGCAGGTCAGAGCTAGGTGCATAGCTGGCAGGGGATGCTCTCCGTGCGTGTTGTTGGTATTTGTGAGTGGTACCATAGACTCTGCAGTTGAGAAAGGTACAGATTCATGAACTGTAAAGAGATTTCAGCTAATAAGTGGAAATTTAAAAATTGACACCATAGTATACATTGGCACGGTGGGTACCCAGCGGAAAACATGGGCTTCCGAGTTGGGCAGACATAGGTTGGGGCCCCAATGCCCCTGTGTATTCACTGAATGGCCCCAGACAAGTCCCTTGACTTCTCTGAGCCTTGGTTTCCTCTTCATGCTAATGCCTGCCTTCTGGAATTGAAGGATTGAATGAGTACATTACACACCTGGTACTGTGCCCAGCACTTGATAGAGGATTCGTTAATGGTCACTGTCATTATTTGCTATTAAGTATGTTTTAATCTTCTTTCCAAATACCTTTCTAAATACCTATAACAGAGTGGTTGAGCATGCATATGAAAGCAAGATTGGGTTCCAGTTCTGGCTCTACTACTTCCTACCTGTGTGACATTGGGAAAGTGACTTAAATTCCCTGTGTATCAGGTTGTTTTCTTTACGACGAAATAGTTCTAGTACCCATGTCTTGGGGTGGTTGGGTGTTAAGTAAATGATTATACATACATAGTGAGCACCAGGTGAATGTTTGCTCTTACTACTACTAATGTATTCATTAACTCAGAAGGAGGTGTATTGCACCTTAAATAAGTAGGTGTCTTTGAACATTTCCTCAGCTTCTACAACTTTTGCTTACTATTTACATGTTGTTAGATGTCTGTAGTTCAAACATAGTTTATTACAGTGCATATTAAGACATGAACCATCAGTTTGGGTAATACCACGTGGTGAGGAGAATTTTCCGATTTGGCAACATGTTTGAATATAAATTGTTATTGAAAAATGACCGTTCTGAAATGTCCTTTTCCCTCCAGATTATTCTGAGCTGGGAGAGCTTCCGCCGCGGTCTCCGTTAGAGCCCGTTTGTGAGGATGGGCCCTTCGGCCCTGTCCCGGAGGAGAAGAGAAGGACATCGCGCGAGCTTCGCGAACTGTGGCGCAAGGCAATTCTACAGCAGATCCTCCTCCTCAGGATGGAGAAGGAAAACCAGAAGCTCCAAGGTTGGTTTGCCATTCTTTATACTCGGCAGGCCTGGTGATCAGAACTTATCCGGCTTGAAAGTGACATCACATCAGACGTAAGCATGCTGCCTTTCAAAGGAAGCAAGACACTCTCACGTGCAACACTTCACATACAACTGTACGATTACAGAGACGTAAATATCTGTTAATCAGTAAAATGAACACCACTTTTTGGAGATCTAATGATCTCACTAACTGTATTAGTTATCCCTGTATGGCCATTTTTAGCATAGTGCCTAGAACTTCTGAGAGACAACCTGCAAATGTAAGTTTAACCTTAAGAGTGGGTTTTGTTTTGTTCTCTTCTCTCTCTCCCTGCGTTGCCCTCAGCCAGAGTCTGTGCCTCGATGTTATATGTGAACTAACCCCACATAATCACTAACTTCATAACCTCACTCTGTGTGCACGTGTAGTGAGCTGCAGGTAACCTGAAGCGTCAACATTAGCCGAGCTCTACCTGTGTGATGTCAGGGTGTTTATGTAGCCAGGCTCACTCGGTCCGGAGGACGGCCCCGGGGTATTACTCGGAAGAAGAAAGGAAACTAAAGCCCAGAGAAGCCAAGCAACCTGCCCAGGGTCATGTCAGGATCCAAATAAGCCGTGAACTTTGAAAGCTTAGGTTTTGTTCATTTCCTGTTTCTATGCTGTCACTTGAAGCAATAAGTATTATTTTCAAAGTAGCTAAGAGCTGAGTTTATGTTCCCTGGATGGTATAATGGAAAGAACATGGGACTTGGAGTGTAGAGAGCGGCCTGGCCATAAACTAATGAGGAATTTGATCCGGGATTCTGGACGTACCCTCAGAGGGAGCCCGGGCAGGAGTCGGCCCTGCCATCACTCCCAAGGAGGTTTTGGAATTAGAGTCCAGCGGTCTCCCTTTAGCTCTGGTTTTCAGTTACCTGTGGTCTGAAAATATTAAATGGAAAATTCCAGAAATAAACAATTCATACGTTTTAAATTGTGTGCTGTTCTGAGTAGTGTGATGAAACCTTGAGCTTTGTCCCATCCTGCCCGGACATCCATCATCCCTTTGTCCAAAGTTTCCTCGCTGTCTACACTACTTGCCGTTAGCCATCCAGTCGCGATTTTAGAGCCACCATCACGGTGTCGCAGTGCTTGTGTTCATGTCACCCTTATTTTACCTGACGATGGCCCCAAAGCACACACGTGGTGATCCTGGCAATTCGGATGTGCCCAAGAGAAGCCCAAAAGTGCTTCCTTTCAGTGAGAAGGAGAATATGTACAGGAAAAACATAGTGTCTGTGGTGTCCAGTACTCTCTGTGGTTTCAGGCATCCCCTGGAGGTCTTGGCACCATCCCCTGTGGATAAGGGGGGACTGCTCTACATTTCATTGAACTTCCTCCCTGGTTGTCCATCTTCATCTTTTAATAACGATCTTGCTCTTTGTAAGAAGCTGAAAGTCATTAAGACACTGGATTTGATTAATACGGTTCATAGTCCAGATAATCCTGTTATCTTTGACCAAATACAAGAAATGAAATAGGAAGTAATAAGACCTTTTGATATGAAAGTGGCCCAACCGTTGTAAGAGGCTGCTTGTGGACGTAGACCCAGTATCGAAGCTGAGTGAGATGGGCCATTCCGTGAGGGTGCTGTCAGTGCTAGGACTTCCCCCAGCTCCATGAAGGTGATTCATTCTAAAAGCAGCGATCTAAAGGAGCTGTGATGGGGATGGCATCACTGAGTGTGTCATCAGTTGAGTGACAGCACCCATGTTCCTGAGCATGTTGGTTGAGATTTTTGTTGAAAGGGAAAGACAGTCGTGTTTATCAGAGAGATCATAAATGCTTAGTGCCTATCCTGGTTGACTGTGCAAATGACAGCCACGGAATATCAGGGCTCCCCTGTGAAACAGGAATGGTGCTGGCTGGCCTGGGAATGATGGGAAGAATCGTGACTATCATTGACGAGATCAGGGTACCAGAGAAGCAGAGTTCCTGGGAAGCTGTGTAAATGGCGACTTGCCTGACCAGAGTGAGCTGGGACATTTCGTGAGGTCACCTGGAACACCTTGCTGGCAGCTGTATATGTGCACTGGCCCCGCCCAGCACCTTTCCACTGCTTCCTCATTTCACCTGCAGCATTCAGTCCCATGTGGCCTTTCGTTTTTACTGCTGGGATTCATTTCTCTTTTTAGTTCTGTGAAGTTCAACATGTGTTTACCTTTGCGGTGAGAGCACAGTAAGCTTGCTAAATATAATTTAGAAAGCATTGCACCAGTATGTACAGTACCTATATTGCTGAGAAATCATCATTTCTTAAAAAATATTTAGTAAGCTGTGTTGGGGTGGGATAGGGAGCAGGGTTTTGTCATTAAATACAGAAGCAAGACTTGATAAGAACTTATCAGGGAATGTACTGTGTGCTAGAGAGACAGCCATTCTATTGCTCCCCTCACACCCCCCAATTGCTTTTACAAAGGAAAGTTAAATTGCAGCTGGGAGTGGCTCTTAAAATTGATCACGGGTTCAGGCCAACTGGCAAGCTCTTTGGAAAAGAAACTAAAGAAACACGTATGAGGTCCTGCCTACCGCTAAGCCTAGTTCCTGGCTTTTGCATATATGGTCCAAATATTATTACTGTTCTGGAAGCATTGCATCTGAGAAAGAACCAAACAGCATCATTGAAATCTGCCTCACTCGCTGCAGAGTGTAGACAGGGGGAAGCTGAATTGTAATTCCCCCAATTAAACAGCTTATTTTTTCCGTGATGTTGGGACTAAAATGCATCCCCAGCAGTCCCCCGCATGCCCCTCTGCAAGGCCATTCTCCCTCTTATAAATGAAGACGCAGGCAGCCTACTGCCAGGCAGCAGGGCGTGTTTCAGTGCAAGCCTAGCTCTTGGTCAGCACGTTACTGCTTGTCGGACTGACTCTCATAGTTTGGCATTTCTTGTTTGAGATTAAAATGGTATTACATCTTCATAGTGACCCATCGAATTTGGAATTTTAATTGAATTGTAATTGAAGATATTTTTAAAAGGTTTTCCCCTGGTTAAACAAACGTTACATGTTGGTTGTAAAAATATTAAACAATGGGTGCAGTTTTTTCCAAATCTCCACAAGCTCGGGGTCATTTAATTACTGAGGCTCCCAGCCCCCTAGCCTTCCCTTTTCAGCTTTCCGGAGGCGGTGGCAGTCGGAAGTGTTTTATCTGTGGAAGCGGTTGCTAACGGTGCAGAACTGGGAATGGGCAGCCACAGCCCACCCTACGCAGGAGACATAAATCCGATCTGAACGTTAGTCCAAAGTCCAAGTGAGCTCACACGTCCATGTTAAATGATAACAAGTGTTTTCGATGACTCTCGTGCAGTCCTGTTTTCCCCAGCCCCAGAAACTCACCAACACGGGGCTGTAGACCCTTATTCACTACTTCAAACAGTTTGGTCTCGTATCTAAAAGTCTTGCTTTGGCACCTTGACGTTTGTCACAGGCCCGCACCATCTGCCTCGGTTGACAGGGATTTTGGAGGCCACTGATTTTAGGCAGCGGTGGTGTCAGGGCCAAGAGCTGGGTGTTGCCTGGCCAACAGCAGAATGAATGGATTACGCCTTTCCAGCTGAATCTTCTGGCCAGATGCTCCCAACCTGTTGACCTCAGAGCCTGTCTCTTGTGCTGCTTGCCGGGCTCTTCAGTGCAGCCAGACACTCCCAGGCAGAGTTCACGGCCAGGGAAGTAAATGTGCGTTGGCTCCGGGAACCCTGTGCTGCTTGCATTAAGCAAGGCTAGGCCTGACCCGATTTGCCACAGAGGTTAGTTCAGTGCTAATGATACCTTCTGTGTTTCCTCACAGCCACAAAAAAATCTGGGGTTGACATTTAAAAAAAAAAAATTTGAACTCCACAGACCTAGGGAATTGTTTAGCAGGACCTTGCAAATTCTTCAAAGTAAGAAGGAAAAGAATAGAGATACTAGCTGAAAATAGTAAAAAAATAGGAGAGCGCTAGGCCTGAGCCACTTGCTACCCACCAGCCAGTCAGTAACCTTATCAAGCCCTTAATCGCTCTGAGCTCCAGTGACTGTGTGTCCGTGAATGAGGGGCTGGACCAGGGGTCTCTGCGGGCCTCTGCAGTGCCCTCTTTTGTCGTATTTGTACCGGGCGGCGGTAATTGGTACCAAATCCGTGCGTCAGAGGAATAAGGTCCGCCACCAGGGTCCCGTTAGCCAGATTTACTGCATTAGCATTTGCTTAATTTCTAACTCGGGAAAAGAAAATATTTTATTTTATATCATCAGCACTTAGTTTGTAAAGCAACATTCTGTGCCTTCCACTGTCTATAGTTTTGATAATATAATTTGTGGCACACGTGCAAATGAGCAGGCATTTTGTGCATGCTTGGTCTATTTCATCTCATGAGCTACTCAGTGAAGTAGCTGTAATTCCCATTTTATTTATTTATTTATTTTTATTTAATATATTTTTATTGATTTCAGAGAGGAAGAGAGAGGGAGAAAGAGAGAGAAACATCAATGGTGAGAGAGAATCATTGATTGGCTGCCTCCTGCACGGCCCACACTGGGGATCAAGCCCGCAACCCGGGCACGTACCCTGACTGGGAATCAAACTGTGACCTCCTGGTTCATAGGTCGATGTTCAACCACTGAGCCAAGCAGGCCGGGCTGTAATTCTCATTTTAAAAGTAATAGGACCTGGTGTTCAGAACTAAAGCAGTTTAAAGCCAGAGGGCTTCGAATCCTGCCACCAGCACTTCTCACAGGGCACAGGAAGGACCCTGCTCAGTCTGTGTCTCCTCCGGAATGAAACAGGGTTGGGGTGGAGAGCGTGTATATCTGCAAGGGGTCGGGGAACACACTCGTGAGGTGTGTACACTGACTTACCAGTGTCTGTAGAGCAAAGAGCAACTTTATGCCAATAAACTTGACTACTTAGATGAAACAGACAAACCTCTAGAAAGATGCACTTGACCAAAAACTGGTAAGTGCCGATCACGGGAGCAAAAAGATCTGAGTGGCCCCATATCTATTAAAGAGATCACATTTGTACTGAAAATCTTTCACTGAAGAATACTCTAGGCTCAGATAGCTGTCCCAGATTCTAGAAAACATTTAAGGCCCCTAATTGACCCAGGCCTAATCCCAGAGAAAATATGTAATCACTGGCTGCAAGCTTCGTAAGCCCGTAGGCCAGGTCCCAGGGCCACTCTGCCTCCTGCTCCGGGACTTTGGGGAAGTGACTCAGCCTCAGAGGGACGTTCAGATTAAATGTTACTAAATATAAAGTACGTAAGACATGTAGTATTTGTCATCATGAAGAAACTGAGTTCACCAGCTCTGCCAAAGTCTGTGTGTTGGCTTATACTTAGCCCTATATCCTACCTGCTTTCCTGATAAACACACAGTCTGGATCCCCAATGTGATGTGGAGTGGGCTCGGTATCTAAATAGGATTTAGTGCTTTTAGTAGAAATTTGGCCGTCAGTTTCGATCTTTCTTAGAACTGTCCATTTAAAACCTTCCTGTATTGACACCCCCCTCTCCCCCGCCCCACTTTGGTGGTTTAGGTATAATTCTTCTTCGTAAAGCTTTCAACGGAAGAGGGTTGGTGGGAAAGACTAGCTACCCTCACGTGTGAGGAGATGCGTCTGAAGAGTGTGCCTCTATTCTGTTCTGTTCCAGGAAGCAGAAACAGGATGCTCGGTGGAAGCCTGTAGTCTTCTAGAAGGTTTGGCTGGACATGAGAAGGAAGGGTCCTTGGAGAGCCTCTCTCAGCTTAGATAACGTTTTCTGTTCGCCCGCCACAGGTGGCAATAAAAGACACGTAGCCGCGGTGTTCACTAACGTGCTCTGAAATGATCTCTTGTAGCTTTAAGTGTTTGGGTTGTCAGTCATTGGGAAAATAAAGTTTTGGCATGTAGAGTAAAATTATGTTAGTAGTAAGTTGTTGAGAACATGGACTTCGAGGTTAGTTCACTTGGATTTCAATCACAGCTCTGGCACTCACTCATCTTGTGATCTTTGACCAATCACTTCACACCTCTTTGCCTCAAGCGCCTGAAGCTTGATTATGAAGAGATCACGCCCTGCCTTAAAGAAGTGACGACGGTGTGGGAAAAGATGCTTAGCGCGCCGGGAAGATCCAAAATTAAGTTTGACATGGAAAAAATGCACTCGGCTGTTGGGCAAGGTGAGCCTGCCTGGGAATCAGTCCAGCAAACCTCACCCCTCACTGATGGTTGGGGAGAAGTATGACATTTAAAAAAAGAAATGTTTACGTCCAATCTCACCCCTTGTTCTTGTTCTTTAATTAATCTGTTTCCAGATATCTTAGTTAATTGATGCGACTTTCATTACCACTCGCGATTCCTCTTAAGTTAATCAGTTAAAATGCCCAGGAAACAGTGAGCAGACAGAGGAAAACCCAAGGACTTAGTTGCCTACAAACTGGGTAACGCTCTGAGATGTACCCTGAGGTCGGTAGTAAGCTGAGAACTGTGTGGCTTCCCTCCTCTCGGGAGACAACATAGAGCGTTGGACACAGACTTCAGACAGGTCATCCCAGGTTCAGATCCCAGCCCTCCCAATTTACAGTGTGATCTTAGGCAGATGACTGAACCTCTCTGAGCCCCACTTCCACGTGGTACCAACAGAGGTTGCTGCGAGGAGTAAGTGAGCTGATACCAGGGGCTCACAGCAGTGTCTGCTCCGCCCAGAGGCCATGGAGAGCGGGCAGTTCTGCTATTTTTTTATTTTTTTTAGTGTGGTCTGCTGACCGTGTACCAGTCTGAACTGTTACTGGTCCAAGATGAGTACAGAGCTTAGACTAAGTCTTTAGAAACTTTTCCGGCAATTTGACAGATCTTAATGAAAAATAGTGGACTTTTATTTTCTAGCCTTTCTCCCCCGCCTCATTTTATTTTTCTACAAATTCATTCTGTGCCGTTTTATAAAAGTATCAGTGTGCTGTGGATCGGAGAATCTGAAAAGAAAAAGCTGGTCCTCCCTTACAGATAGTTGGGGAAGCACCATGTTAGAGCTTAACTTCAATGATTATCAGTGATTATCAGTGTTCAAGTGAAGCGGCCATTCCTTTTAAAATGCATATAAGTGTCTTTTGGCAAGGGCGGGGCTTTGTGAGTCTAATCTGTTTCCAGGGCTCCTGGGATCTGGCCAGTCTAGTCACGAATAACCAGGTGTTTAGAAAAGGGGTTTCAGATACATATAAATCTTACGGTTTTCCTCTGACTTCATTAGCTGATCAATGGGAGAAGATACACAGGCATCATTCATCTCTAAGGGAGTAAGGGGGCAAGTGGTTTTGCTCAGTAGTCAGTTAGGCATTACCTAACCTTTATCTGGCTTTCAACAGCATCCATTTTAGTAACACATAGTTATGACTAGTTATGACATTCCCTTTCTGTGGATAAGGAGACTTGGACTTAGAGCAGTTGAGTAATGGCCGGAGCTGGTCTCCCACCCCCGTTCTAGGCAGCGTAGGCCCCGCCCGTGGTTGAGCCGCCCCTCTGTGCTGTTCTCTGAGACCAGAACTATGGCAGGTGGGGACGCAGGTTGCAGATGGGCCAGGGCTCCCTGTGTGAGCTCTGGCAGGTGTCCTCATCTCTGGGCTCTGGCCTCCTGGCTGCTAGAACGGAGGCATGGACCGACAGAGGAGCTCAGAGCTCTCTTCCAGTTCTCACATAGAGGTTGCTGGAGGCTCGCCATTGCACCACATGGCCCTAGATCGCTGTTTTGAAAAAGGAGGAAGCAGAGAAAAGAATGAGTTCGTTCTTTCCCTTTTCACTGTTGACTACATGATGGTCTTCAGGTGGCTTTGCTTCTGCAAAAGGTAAACCGCCGGGGCCTGTGACAGCTGTTCCAGATGTGTGACTTCCTTAGAAGCCTGACGCCTGGATATACTGGTTTTCATCATGCATTTTTACGGGGATGGGGGCTACTAGAAATACTGTCAGTATCTGGACCCTGTGTAGAGAGTTAGGGGTAAGTGGTTGAACAGTGTGTGTGTACTGAGGTGAGCTAAGGCTAACCTGGAATTCCCTCATGTGTTCCCGACATTGCCATATTGCTTTCCGTGGCAGGAACTGTATCTGTAACTGTAAAAGGGGCTTTGTCAATTATTCAGCTGGTTTCTACACATAGGATTTAATTACTCCAAACAAATGGCCACAGTCCATCTTGTAGTTCAGAATAAAAGAATGAAGTTAAGTCAGAACCACACCTTCGGCCTTCCAGGTAGAGGCCAAGTCACCTCCAAGCCCTTAAAAGAAAAGACAGTCCCTGTATGGGTAAGAGCCCCTAAGTGATGGAGATGAAGGGATTTATGAACTTTCCAAGTTAAAATGGGATCAGAGCCGCAGGATTAGGGTGTCAGCTTGGGAGAAGGAAGAACAGTTCTGGGGAATTTTAAATATTCCGAAGTTTAGCTTGGGTTTAAATGGTTCCTTTGATGATTTATTTAAATGATCTCATTTATTTAATGAATAAAAGATGTTAAGTAGAACTTTATGAACTGGAGTGTACTTTTCTAGGAGTGGGATTGCAAAGCGGCTGGCTACCTGAGCAGTGGGCAGTGTGGGCCGGATGCGGACTGCTCACCTCTGACCCAGCAATGCCATATATAGAAACCTCGATGCTAATCAGTCAGCAGGGTTCTGCGGTGGGAAAGAATGCTCATTGTGGCATTGTTTAAAGGCCAAAAACTAGAACCGAGCCAGAATCCCCAACCATGTGACCACACCCATGTCTTACTCCCTGAAAATGACGGTGGATTTGTACTGATGCAAAAGAAGGAGTCGCTAAATGAAAGAAAAAGGCCCAGCGTGGTCTCACGCCCCGTCGTGCGTGTGTCGGTAGGAAAACATCCCGAGGTGTTCGCAGCCGTCTGAGTAATGAGCAGGATGACGGTGCATCTGGTTCCCGGGCACAGCCCTGCTTCCCAGCTTGTCCCAGCGAGATCATCCGTACCCTGCCTCCCCTTTGCTTCCAGAGTGTCCTGCTTTGGGTGGTGATTTATGTATTCACTCCAGTGACGGGTAGTTTTCATTTTCTTCTTTATGCCTTTTGGTTTTCCAGAAGTGTTTGGTTTAAGTAGTGAGCATGTATTACTTTTCAAGTTGCAAAGGCGTTCACATTTGGGTGGAAGGTGGCCTCCTGTCCTCCCAGAACCCTGCCTGCAGGTCCTGGCTGGACTCCCCCATGGTTCTCCCTTGGGTTAGGAGAGGAGGCACAACCGAATGTGGGAAGGTTACTCCAGGTCGTTCTTAGCAAACACATTGGCTCCACTGTGCACGACCCTTTGTTTTTAAAGAACAGACCTAAGTGTTCTCTTAAATGCCAGAATGTGTGGTACTGTCCAGTGACACACAGCCCGTGTTTTTTTTCCTTCAAAAAATAAAAGTCTGATAAGTTTAATGGGAACGATTTAGTAATAAGAGGAAATTGTTCATCTCATAACTGGGAAAACTTCCCAGTTGGAAAAAAGCTATTTTGTGAAAAGCCCCACTATAAATCACTTAACATGTTTTTCAGGATGCATTTCTGTATTTCTTTCTTTTTCTTTTTTTTTAAATACGTTTTTATGGATTTCAGAGAGGAAGGGAGAGGGAGAGAGCGACAGAAACATCAGTGACGGAGAGAATCATTGATCGGCTGCCTCCTGCAGCCCCATCGCACAAGCGAAAGTTTCTGTGAAATCTGATTTCCTTCATGTCAACTCACTTGGGTCACGTCGCTTTTATGAGATGACATTCTGTTACGTGCTTGGCCTTCTTTCTCAGGGCACGATGGATCAGCACCAGATAGGGGCTCCTACCACCCACCGTTTATTCCTGGGAGATTCTTGCATAATCCCAAAGCGTGTATATATGAAAGGTGAAAGGAAAGTGGGAGGGGGTCGGGATGCGAGGGGAAAGATGTGGGGTAGAGGAAGGAAGGAAGGAAGGAAAGAAAGAAGGAAGCAAGCAAGCAAATAGGACAACATTCTGGTTGCTTCCTATGCTGCTAGTTGTCATGGAACAAGAATTCAGATCGATGAACTAAAACACAACTCATTTTTATTATTAAGTTGAATTCTGTGCATAAAGCCTCTCTGTACTCTCTACCCTCCCCAACCCCGAAGGTGTGCCACGTCATCACCGGGGTGAGATCTGGAAGTTCCTCGCCGAGCAGTACCACCTGAAACACCAGCTTCCCCGGAAACAGCAGCCCAAGGACACGCCGTACAAAGAGCTCTTAAAGCAGCTCACCTCGCAGCAGCACGCCATTCTCATCGACCTTGGTGAGTCTGCAGATCGATGCGATGTGGAGGTGCACGTGGCACCCACCAGAGAAACCCGGGGAGACTGCCCGAGATGTTTAGTGACCTGCCTTCAGGTTTAGCAGGCCAGCCTTGCTACCGAGCCTTTCAATTAAAACAGCCCTGGAGTAATCAGGGTGCCCTGGCCACGCACACGTGGAAACCTCTGTCCCTCCCTGGGCAGCTGCTAAGCCTGCGCAGCGCGCGGGGGGCGGGCACGAGGGCTCCAGGCGTGACTGTGGTTCAGGCCAGCCATTCACGTATTGACAGGCGGCTTTATAGCCGAACGAAGGGGCGTCTGGGGAGACGGAGTGTCAGGGCCGAGGCCTGGTGTAATTACAGGAGACGTTCCCTAGCCTTTCCTGCTTCCCAGCAGGGTTATTAGAAAGGCTGCAGAGAGCAGATGGTGTGCGCCTGGGGCAGCTTTATTTTGGAAAAGGGTAGGCATCGCGTCTCTGGAGTAGCTTGGGAACGACTCCGATGGGAACAGGGATTGGACACGCGCCGCTGCCACAGGGAAGAGCGCGTGTGATGAGGATGTAATTATGGGGCACAGGAGAGCCCCTGGCTTGTCCTCTCCGCCTGCCGCCTCTCTCGGGGCCTCTGTCTCCCCCAGCGGCAGGGCTCCCGGGAGGCCCATGGGAACCCAGCCCTGCCGCTGTCAGAGCATGTGGCCCTGCTTCTCGAATGTTCCTTCTGGCTGCCAACCCGCATGGGACTCGCCGGAGTGCCCGCCTGTGCTTCAGGCCTGGCTCTCCGGGTCCCGCAGCAGCCAGTGGGAGGAGGCTGTTCCCAGGAACCGGGAGCTGGGTCAGGCAGCTCCCAGCTATCCAGCCACACAGCAGCCCTCAGGGTCATTTTCCTAAATGTCGCTCCTGGTGTCAGCTCAGATGTCATCTCTGAGAAACTGGCCCTGGCGTAGCCTCTTCGCCCACCTTCTGGCTGGATGAGATGCCTCTGCTAAGCCATCTGTCCCACCCATACCTGCCCCCCCAACCCCCGTGACACTTACCACATTAACTGGTGCTACAGTTGTCGTTAGCATTTACAGCTAATACTTAGCTACCTTACACCAAGTGTGTGTGACGTTTACTTCAACCACTTTCTGTAACCCTCACAGCGCGGTCAGGTAGCTGTTGCTCTATCCCTGTTGAGAGTTGAGGAAATTGAGGTGCAGAGAGAGGGGGGAGCACCGCGCTCCCAGGGACACAGCCTGAGCTGCTGAGCACCCTGCGCTCCCCACAACCGCCCTCGGTGCTATGGCAGCGGCTGCAGCTTTTTTCTTTTTAAATGTTTTTATTGATTTGAGAGAGAGAGGGAGAGAGAAGATAGAAACAGCCATGAGAGAGGAACATGATCAGCTGCCTCCTGCATGCCCCCCACTGGGATCTAGCCTGCACCCGGGCATGTGCCCTGACCGGGAATCGAACCATGACCTCTTGGTGCCTGGGTCAGGTTGACGCTCAACCACTAAGCCACACCGGCCAGGTGCAGCAGCAGCTTTTTCATTGCCTTTCTCTGCATGGGACGCCTGCCCCAGCTCCGAGGACAGAGCCTGCCACGAGCTCCGTGTGTCTTTTGAGATGCTGAAGAGGAGGCACTGCACTAGCACCTCCATCTCACGTGACCCCCACAGCAGCCCTGAGATAAGAAATGAGGAAACTGAGGCACCGACAGGCCCAATGGTGACCATGGTCACACCGTTTCACTGGCAGCCTAAACCCACTGCGGCTCTGTGTAATCAGGGCCCCCCTGAGCCCAGGATCCCACGTGTTCCCATGGAAACGCATGGCTGGGTGAAGGGGATGCTGACAGGCCGTGATTACACCTTGGGGACAAAGTGGCGCTGGTGCCCGGTTGGCCCACTGACCCCGAGCAGAGCAGTGCTGTGAATTGGCAATAGCTCTGTTTGCTAATGTGATGAGTAACAGGAAACATGACATCATGTTCCTATCATGTGAAATGAAGTGAAAAATGAATTCAGAGTAGGAGGTTAAAAGGGAGGGAGCATAGTTTCTGTGTGCCCTCCCCCCCAACTTCCCAGGATCAGGGGAGGACTGGGGCACATGCTTCCCCTCCTTGATTCGAGCATCCTCTTCTCTTAGCTTTCCTCTCCTTCTTCCATGGCCACTCAGATGTAATCACTTTCTGCAGAGGAAGGCAGATGCTAGCTCAGCACGGGGCCTGGGGCCCTCTCCCTGGGGAGCTGTCTGCCATGGCCACACCCAGGGTGGCCTCCCCCGCCCTGACGCCTGCTGCAGCCTTTCCCCAGCCAGCGAGAGGCCTGTGGGAGCTGAGGGTGGGCCTTTCTCATTCACAGGCAGGGCCAGGCTGCGTGCACGTCAGCTCCGTGCTGCCCGGCTCCCACCCCGCGGGCCAGCTGCAGCCACCTCCCTGAGAGCCCTGCCCCTCTGTCCACTTTCCTCCCTGTCCTCCAGACACCTTCCCAGGCGGAAAGAAGCTCCATTCCCTGCAGTGCAGTTCCCAGTGACCTCAACATCTCTCCAGGCTCTATCCAGGGACCTGCAGGGCCGGTCTTCTCTCTGCACTTGAACTGGCAAAGACTGTGTCCCGTGGCTCCAGGGAGCCGCTGCCAGAGGCCTCACCTAGAAGTGCCTCCCCGCGGCCCGCTGCTCCCCCCACCTCTCACCAAGAGGAGGCATTCGCCAAGGCAGCTGTTTAGTCTACGCTTCCTGTTTAGTCTGCACCACGGCTAACGGAGGGCCCAGGAAAGGTGGATAGTGCAGAGCGAGACAAATCCCATTTCAGTGTTTCTTCAAAAGCAACATCCATATTCTGGCCAGAAGAACAGAATGCTTGTTGGTTGGACATCTTCTGAGTTTTCATGGATCTTTCTTTTCCTGCTTCTTTGTTTACTTTTGTAAAATTAGATGTTAGTCTAATCAACTTTTTTGCAAGGTTTTTTTCTTATGAAGAGTAAGACTAATAGACTGTAGTTGGGCAGTGTTTTATCGTTTGGGAACGTTCTCTCGCTCTGTCGGATCTCAACTTTATACAGCCCTGTGCGAGCGTGGGCACCTGTTACTCCACTTTCGGGTGACGAAGGGGGCCCAGAGAGATCAAGTCCTTTGCCCAAGTTATAAGCTACTGAGTGGCAGAAAGTGCTAGAATGTAGGTCTTCTTAGTCTCCTGTCATGTCCCTTCCAGGAGACCGTATTGTTCTGTCTAGTGCATACCCCACAGCTTTCCCTCCCAGAGTGAGGTGGTGTAAGGCTCCCTCAGAGCTGACCACACCCGGCTGGTCAGAGTAAGGACCAGCCCATTCCCTACTCTGTGCACATGGCGCTTGCTCCCCTGGGTCTGCTTGGAGTCTGGGGGTGGGGGGTGCCGGGTCGGGATAGGGTAATGGAGTGAGGAGCTTCCAGTCCCTCTGAGAAGCTGCAGAAAGCAGTATACTTGTGTGGTCAGCGTGGTAGCATGTGTGTCTGCTGAGCACTTGGATATGGCTGGTGAGCACTCAGATGTGCCGTCAGTACAGAATACAGGGGGTTTCAAAGGCTTAGTATGAAAAAAAGAATGCAAAATGTCTCCATCATTTGTATATTGATTACATGTTGAAAATGACAATATTTTGTTTATGTTGGGCTAAACAGGATGTCTTAGTAAAATTAATTTCACCTGTACTTGCCAAGTGGCCACTGACAATTTCACACGATGTCTGTGTCTGGTATCCAGGGCCGCTGGCATGCCACCCTAGACTAGGAACATGGGCAGGCATCCCATGCTTGGAGCATGCTCCATTCTGCCGCAGCAGGGAGGGGTTCAGAGACCCGGGGCCCCCCCTCGCACTTCTTAGGCCGGCCCTGGAGTAGAGGATGGAGCTGGGGGCAGGCGAGGAGGTGAGTGTGCAGAGCTCCACTGGGAGCCGTTGATGCTTCTCCCAGTGGGAGGACATGTGTGCGGTGTGTTTGGGGAACATTTGTTGGGGGAAGAGGTAGAGCGGACAAACCATGAATACAGGACAAGAAATCAGGAAGGTAGTTAGGGGACTGCTCCAGCCACTTCAATCCAGTGCAGATAAACCGCCTGGTGGGTGAGTGCTTTCTCACGAGGCCGAGCAAGAACACCGGAGCGTCCTCTTCCTTTCGCCGACCCAGTAAAGAAGCCGAACAGTCAACCTGTGGCCCAGATTCCCCTTCTGCCTCTGCTGATCCAAGGAGGCCAGGATCCCCACCTGGGTCCCTGCTGGGCCCCTGCTGGGCCCTGGCCGAGCATTTTTTCCTCTGCTCCCTGGAAACACGTTTCCCCATCGGTCACATTCCAGGAGAGGGTGAGGTGGATTTGACAAGTATCAGCCACAAAAGCCACCTGGACAAAAGAAGTCTTTAAACCATTGCTGAATACCAGCTTTTTGTGTAAATAAAAGGATGTTGAGAACTTATTTTTTTAACCTCTTTCTGGAAGGAAGGTAACTGTTTTTGTGTGTGTGGGGGGGTTTTTTTTAATGTATTTTATTGATTTTTTTACAGAGAGGAAGGGAGAGGGATAGAGAGCTAGAAACATTGATGAGAGAAACATCGATCAGCTGCCTCCTGCAAACCCCCTACTGGGGATATGCCCGCAACCCCGGTACATGCCTTTGGCCGGAATTGAACCTGGACCCTTTAGTCCGCAGGCCGACGCTCTATCCACTGAGCCAAACCGGTTAGGGCTGTTTTGTGTTTTTTTGTGAAAAGAAAACACCTCCTGTTTCTCAGTCCGTTTCAAAGTATTGCCTGTGGTTTAAAAGCACAGAAATAATGCGTGTGGCCCGAAGCCCTGCCGGCACAGGGGGGAACGCGTCTAGGGCAGCCTGGCAAAGCGACGGGGATGGTCTGCAGCCGGCCAGGGCCTGGCTGCCTTCAGATGGTGCTGGTATGGGTGCTCCTCTCCGATTAGAGGGCAGGCTGTTTTCTTCTGTTTCAGATTGAAATCCAGGTATCTGTAGGACCTGTGGCAGTTCTCATTTGTCCCGCCACAAAACACCATGAATGCTTGCTGAGGGGGTGGTTGCAAACATTCTTCCTAGAACAACCAGGTGACCTTGTATACGGGGCTCACGTAGATACCCGGTTCTGAGGAGCGGTGGCTGTAACCTGCAGGCCATCGGGTTTCTGATTCACAGGCTTTCTTTTTTAAAACAACGACTGATGGCTCTTGTTTTCACAGGTCGAACCTTCCCAACACACCCGTACTTCTCGGCCCAGTTGGGCGCGGGGCAGCTGTCCCTTTACAACATCCTGAAGGCCTACTCGCTTCTGGACCAGGAAGTGGGATACTGCCAAGGCCTCAGCTTCGTGGCCGGCATCCTGCTGCTGCACATGGGCGAGGAAGAGGCGTTTCACATGCTCAAGTTCCTGATGTTTGACCGGGGGCTGAGGAAACAGTACCGGCCGGACATGATCATTTTACAGGTAGAGCCTTCCATACGTCTTTGAGGGAGACAAAAGGCCAAAACGTTTATGACTCCTTTCCAGATCTAGTTAAAGAGCTTTTTCTTTAAAAACAAACAAACAAACAAAAAAGAAATCCTTTTATTTTTTTAGTTACAGCTTACATTCAGTATTTTTTGTTAGTTTCAAGTGTACAGCATTGTGATTAGACAATTCTATATATACTTTGCAGTGTTCGCCCCGATATTTCCAGTACCCACCTGGCACCATGCCTAGTTACGACAGTATTATTACTAAGGAGCTTTTCCACCATCAGTTAGCGTTATAATAGCGATCTTTGCTGAAAAAGTACTCTCTGTGAGGCATGACCCCGACTGTTTTGTAGGCACTGATCTCCTCACTGACCCTCAGGAACACACCATTCATCGGCTCAATTTATAGGTGGGAAAACTAAGGCTCAGGGGGGGGGGGGGGGTTACAGAATTTGACCAGGTCACACAGCTAGCCCCTCTGTGTCTAGGGCCCTCCCTTTTGTTCTTCATCAAAGCACCTTCAGATGGTCTAACTCCTATTTCCCACGGTGTTTGCTACTCCCTGTGCCAGGGATCCCTTGTCACCCAGGGGTCGGCTCAAATACCACATCCTAGGAGAAGCTCCTCCTGACCACCACGACCCCCCACGTCCACCCCAGGCGTGTCCACTGTATCAGGATATCTTGTCTCATTTCTTTTGCATCACACTCTCGCTGCCTGAAATTACCTGTTTATTTTCTGGATCCATCTTGGAGCTGCATCCGTAGTTCTTAGAACAACAGTGCCTGGGAGGAAGTAGACACCCAGGCAGTGTTGATTGAATGCGTGAGTGATGGGAGGGAGGTCCTATCAAGAGAAAAGCCAACAGCAGTGTGTTTAAGTGCCAAGTGCTGATTCTGCACCTTCAGAAGTGGGAAAACCGGGTCCTACTTGGGGAATATTCCTGAATGTTGGATCCTGTGTTTATGTGACCATTTACCAGAAAGATGCTGTGATTTCAAAGCCTCAGAAAGTATTCTTAGAAAGGTTACGTTAGCATCAAATTGTGTGGGTAAACGTCCAATTCACCTCCCCCTGACTATGAGCCACACGGACAGAAATCTCGTAAAAGGAGGCCATTCCACTCACTCAAAGCTTTTGACACACATCACACTTCCCACGCACCTTGTCCGGTCCCTCCTGCATTCTTCCCCGTAGCTTTAATCAGACATCCCTGCCGTCTCAGAGCAGAATGTTCAAGTTTTATATCATTCACTATGGTAACACACAGCTCTCTTTGGGGGCTTGTGACCTTGGTGATTCGATCCCTTTACATAAAAACAACAACAAGAGGCCACAGCTGGTGCTTCACAGGCCTGTGTTGTCTGTCCCTGGAAGCAGTTCTGTTCAGTTTGGACGGTGCACATCCAACCCCCAGCACCTCAGCGGGGAGCTGACCCGGTCTGGCTATCGTTTCTCTGGGTTGGGGCAGCGGGGCTGCTGGGCTCTGGGCTGAGCCCGGGGCTCCTACGGGCTCCCTGCCAGACCTGCCGCCCTCCACACAGGGAACCCGCTGCTTCAGGGTTGGGGGGACCCAGAAGGAACGTACTAACCGAGCGGGCACAGCAGAACCTTCCACAGAAGCACCACCTGTGTTCGCTTCAGTCTCTTATTTCCGATTCCCTGGGTTTAAGTTTTGCTGGGAATTGTATTTGTAAGAGAATTTATGAAGTGTTTCCACAGACGGAAGTTTAGATTCTCTCAGCCAAGGACACGAGGGGACGGTAAAAAGAAAGGAAGTGGTAGGAGACCCAGGGTTAGTGTTCTGGGCCTGCACCCGTCAGGGCCTCGCATGCAGTGAGCACCCAGGAAGCTCTGGTTGGATAAACGAGAAGCTGAGATCAGTGATCCAAAGAACGGATTATGCATCTGTGCATGACCCGTGGTCACAGACAGTAGTGCTGTGAAGGCCTGGGGGTGTGGCGGGTAGAAGGGGTCAATGGGAGGGGGCACATCTGTACTGCTTTCAACAATAAAGATACTTTTTTTTTTAAAAAAAAGGACATCCTGAGCCAAATAGAATGTTTCAGGTGCTAGGAAGTCTTCTCTGCCCTGTGAGTGGGGGAAGTCACTGTGTACCGCGTAGGGACAGTGAGCGCAGACCCTGTGTCCCTGCAGATCCAGATGTACCAGCTCTCGCGGCTCCTCCACGACTACCACAGAGACCTCTACAACCACCTGGAGGAGCATGAGATCGGCCCCAGCCTCTACGCCGCGCCCTGGTTTCTCACCGTGTTCGCCTCCCAGTTCCCCCTGGGATTTGTGGCCAGAGTCTTCGGTAAGTGGGTGCACACGTTGCCAGAACCAGCATTCCCGTGTTTCGTGTCACTCCACGGAGAGGCTTCTTGTTTTCCTGCCTGTGTCTTCTGTGAGAACGGGGTGTTGTTTGACACTAAGTTTCAGGGTTGGGTTTTGTGAATTGCAAGACCATCACTTCTGACAGTCATCGGGCTCCCCTACATGCCTTCATCTTGTGGGAGAGACCCGATTCCCTCACCACTGGGCTGACACCTTACAGACTCGGCCAGGGAGCCCCCGCCAATGTGCCAGGAGGCGTTTCCCAGCTTCCCTGGCCTGTGCTGCTCAATGTTCACCGATTGCCCCTTAGAACTTTTTGACCAGTGCCTTCTGGGCTGCTGTTCTTACTAGATTCTCTTTGCATCTCCTTCTCCTTTCTCCTCTTTCACTGCCCTGAGCTCTTGGTTTTCTCTGCCATCAGGTTCCTGGCAACACCTCCATGTGGATGACTCACTGTTCCATTCTCACATGTCCCCTGTCTGATCTTCCCAAGCGTCTCACCCCTCTGTAGCCCCTCTGTAGCCCTAGGCTGTTCCCCCCTCAAACCATCTCCCATTTTCTTGATTTATTTTTCAAAAAGGTTGTCCCTGTCAAAGTAAAACAGGTATTCACGTGCAAAGTCTCAAAACTGCCTTGTCTGTTATGCATCAATAAAATAAAAAACAAAAACAATTTTAAAATGGTCTTGGGTGGCAGGGAAGGCACATTCTCTTGGATGCCAGGAGCCCAGTGGAACACTGAGCGCAGCCAGTGCTTGTACCAGGTGCTCTCCCTACTGCAGAATGAAATAATAACTGACAATTCAGGTTCTTTGTATTTTATTTTCTGTGGAGGGGGAGGTTATTAAAAAATTGATGGTCCTGCCCTGACCAGTTTGGCTCAGTGGATAGAGCATCGGCCTGAGGACTGAAAGGTCCCAGGTTCGATTCTGGTCAAGGGCATGTACCTTGGTTGTGGGTACATCCCCAGTAGGAGGTGTGCAGGAGGCAGCTGATTGATGTTTCTCTCTCATCGATGTTTCTAACTTTCTATTCCTCTCCCTTCCTCTCTGTAAAAAAATCAATAAAATATATTTTTAAAAAATGTTTAAAAAATTGATGGTCCCTCCCAACATCAGGTGGTTTTAAAGTGCCATTTATGTTCAGTAACTTGATAGCTTAAAGATCTGTAATCTTATCAGCTTTTTTTTACATTTGTTTTTAGAAGTAGGGAACATCTAAAGGGTAAGTAGGGGATGTTCACAAACGTTGGGAGAGTATATACTACATTAGGCAGCTTTGGGTAAATAGCTTGTATATCCAAATTCTAGAAATCCTAAAATTTGCTTTTTAATATAAGTGGGTGTTGAGTTATCGTCTTGCCTCTTCCCCCACCCTACCAAAGTGTTAGATTTTCAGTTTTCACTTCTATCCAGAATAATTTTTTTTAAAAAAATATATTGATTTTTTACAGAGAGGAAGGGAGAGGGATAGAGAGTTAGAAACATCAATGAGAGAGAAACATCCATCAGCTGCCTCCTGCACACTCCCTACTGGGGATGTGCCTGCAACCAAGGTACATGCCCTTGACCGGAATCAAACCCGGGACCCTTGAGTCCACAGGCTGACGCTCTATCCACTGAGCCAAACCGGTTAGGGCTCCAGAAGAACTTTTAAAGAAGTTTGCATTTGACTTTACTAGAAGATTCTTTGTTTTTAAAATGTTTACTAACCCCCTCTTTTGTATAGCTACTTCCCAAGTGCATTTTTGTTTTCTGTTCCTAAAAAAATAAGCATTGAAGAAAAGAGATACTCAAAACACTCTTCCTGGTGAAACAAATTGTTAGTGAGAGTTCATGAAGGGTTTATACTATTGTTTAAAAGGAACTAAAAGCCTCAAAAGTGTCTGCTTAGTTTACTAACAAGAGTCACATGAACTATAAGCTCTCCAACCGGAAGCTTCAGTCTTTCTTGCCTAAAATTTTGTGTATTTTACTTTTCTTACTCTGGAAATTCAAAGAAAGTCTTAACAAGATAATGGAGAGAGGTGGAGATTGAGAGGGCAGGAGCGGGGTGTTGTGAATGGTTTGAAAACAGCTCAGACATCAAATTACAGGGTGGGAAGGGGACTGGGCAGGAGGGCCAGGCTGAGTTATCGCTGCTCCTGGCCACAGGCACCAAAGCTGCTGCCTGCAGACGGTCCTGGGCCCCAGGGCCACAAATCTCTAGGAAAACATCTCCCCTTAGGCTGCATCCATGGGTAGGAGGCAATGACAACAAACAAGCAAACTCCGCTTTGGAAATGAGTAATCGGAACTCTGTGAAGCTCATTCTAATGACTTCACAGATAAAAGCTGAAAAAAAAACCCACCTATTTCTCGCTATGTTCTGTATAGTCAGTGGTGGGATTGGAGTTTCTTATACATTTACATAAAGATGATTCCTGGACCTCACAGACCCCTGCTGTCCTGAGTTCACGTCCTGCTGGCTAGGGGCTCAGGCTGCCTGGAGTTGTAGGCAGGAAGTGAGAGCTCAAGGCACACTGTGTCATGATGTCATTTGGAAAAAAAAAACAACACTACTTTTTTTTTTTTTTTTTTTTGCACAATCCATCCCATGTATCAGTCCTTAAAAACAGTTTTATTGGAAAAGATAGGTTTTTAAAAACCATTCCTGTACTTAGCATCGGCGACCTGAACCATGTTTGTTTAAACCCCTGTCATGGTGGATTGCTCAGTTTTAAATCCAAAGCGTGCCATTCATACACTGGAGTCTTTTTTGGTCTGAAGCCCATTTCATTATAAGTCTCTAGGCCTGGATAAGCCCTGAAAACAAATGGACCTTTGTTAGCTCTTCACAATTGTATGTGTAAGTAAAGGATTCTCAGCGCGCAGTCAGCATGGCTCCCATAGTAATTAATAGGTCACCTCGAATTTAAGTGTATGCTGCTTGCAGGGGCAGTTGCCAATGATGTATGTTCCTTGACCTTCATCATTAAGGCGCCTGGTAATGACGCTTTTCTGAAAGTCAGTCCTTCCGTGTGGGCGTCACATGGTGTAAAATAGCCTCCTCCTGTGTTTTTCTGTTCGGGTGCAGAGGGGTCTGCCTTTGGGGGTAAAGGACCAGGCTTACTCCTAATGGAAGAGGAGGCTCCTGAAGGTTTCCATAGGCTGTATTCCAGGTGGATGAGTGAGGAGATGGGATGTAAAAACCAGGGACTTAGCAAAAAAACAGAAGCCACCTGTAATGTGAGGAAGGCTTCAGAGAGGCTCAAGGACTAAAAGGGACAGGTGAGCAAGATTGTTTGTACAGCCAGGAAAAATGGCTCTTCGGCAGCATGGCACAGTGCTGATGAAGGGAGCGTTTGCAGATTCTGTTAGGGCTGTCACCACACTTCATTCCCCTCCTACCTGTTCCCTGTCGCAGTGGAGGACCACGGCCTCCCCCAGGAAGTTAGGCAGTGATTGCCCTTGACAAAGACAGAGATGCCTGGAAAAGATGCAGGATGCGTTCGCTCCCTGGCCGTGCTCTTGGCGTTTGTCATTCCCTCCCCGCACCACCCGGGAAAATTGCCCTTTTATATCACGGGGAGTTTCAAATACAGTGTCCATCCCCATTAGCACAGTAACAGGGCTGCCGGAGCATCTTCAAAGGGAAGTAGCTATTCGCGTTGTTCTCAGCAAATAACTTGCCAAGTGCAGGAGTCAGCTGAATTTAAGGTTCCCTTTACTTCCTGCCTGGTAGAGCCCTGCGCCTGTTTCTGGGTGGCGTGAGAAAGGAGAGAAGGAGTCAGCCCGTGCTATGAGCTGGGCAGTGCAGGGCTGTGGGGTGATTTCTTGCGCAGTGATTTTCAAATGCGGGAAATTAAATCACTTTCCCAAGGAGATTATTGTGTGTGTTTAAAAAAAAATTTTTTTTTTTACTTTTATTGATTTTAAAGAGGAAGGAAAAGGGAGAAAGATAGAAACTTCAATGATGAGAGAGAATCATTGATCAGCTGCCTACTGCATACCCCACTCTGGGGATCGAGCCACAACCCAGGCATGTGCCCTGATTGGGAATCGAACCGCCACCTCCTGGTTCATAGGTTTGCGCTCAGCCACTGAGCCACACCAGTCAGACAGGAATATATATATTTTTTATTACATTAAATACAGACCATTAGACCCAATGAAATAAATATATCCAGTTATATTTTATTGTGTATTTTTTAACATACTAATGAAGAGATTTAAAAAAAAAACTCAACTTTCTCTAAAATTCTTTTTGTTTTTTTCATACAATCCAGAAAAGTCTGAGTCTAGAGTGCACTCTACTAGGTAGACTTGTTATAAACACCAAGTTCATAAAGGAATAAAACGTGGAAGACTCATTGCTAACCTTAAGAGACTGCTAATATGGATTACGTATTTGTTTATGCTCAAAAGCTCCCCAATAATTATTTAATTGGCTTAGGTACTGTACTGTATCTAATTTTTAAATTGAATTTATTGGGATGGCATTGGTTAATAAAGTTATGTAGGTTTCAGGTGTACAGTTCTATAACACATCAACTGTATATTGTGTGTTCACCACCCCAAATCAAATCTCTAAATTTATTTTTAATTGTGGTAAAATAAATGTAACATAAAATTTACTGTCTTAACCATTTTTTTAAAAAATATATTTTATTGAGAGAACCAAGATGGCGGCATAGGTTAACGCCGGAGTTTGCTGCCTCGAACACCCACTTCAAAAATACAACTAAAAGATGGAACAGACATCACCACG